TGACGTCTGCGCCTTTATCTCCATTCTGTCCCTGTTCCGCACGACAATATTATTATAATTAAATGTATTAATAGTATATTATCAATGATATTTAATTAATAAGAAATCTTTATTTTTAAATGTATTTTATTATATAATAATAATTACTGTTACTGTCTATCATTGTCTAAATGTATTTTTACTGTCTAAATATATGTATTCAGCTAGTGTAAACATGCACGATGCTATCACAGCGAATGCAAGGCTGAGACTGAAGCTTTATCCCTTGTTTCCGCTGAGAGACGTGCTGCGTGTACAAGTTATCTTAGGTCGGCGTTCACGGTTTGACTTCTGAGATTCAGATAGAGTTCTAGGTAATTTTTTTTCGAACTGGTTGGTTCGACTTTTAAGAAATTCAAGTTCTAATGATTTCGAGAACTGAGGTACCACTGTACCTCCAAGCATTCCGCTTCAATATTGTTAAATTATCTGTTGTATGATGAGTGTGGAAGTTCACCAAACATAATTAAATCGACATCTGAATTGCATTAAAACATCTGCACAGATTTTCTGAACCCAAAACTGGAAATGTGTAGGGGTTGTCCCCCCTATCCCTGTGTCAGGGGGAGCTGAGTGACCACAGAACTGAGGGTTTAGCAGAAGCAGCTGTGAGGATGTTTTCATGCCTGTTAAGGCAGCCTTTGTAAATGTTCTCACACACCGGTGGCTCAGTTTGAGTGTGCACCACTGAATGCTTGGGTTGTGCAGGACACAAGGACAAAAGCAAAAATGCAAAACATATGGAAGATATGCTGTAGCTAAGGTGAGTTTTCATTGCTGCCCCCTTCACCACAACCCCTGCTCCTACAAGAGACTTTTCTGATGAAGCCTGGAATAATGGACAAAATCAGATCTGTGGACGTGTCAGTTTACAGGGCGTCACTCAGCTCTCTGCCATGTTCCCCAGGATCTATGTTTTCTGAGTCTAGTGAAAACATGCAGAAAAATATCTGATGTCCTTCTGCCACTTAGCTCCACTTTTGCTTCTCAGAATGAAGTCTTCCTTTCCCCAATGGCTGTGGCCTGGTTCCCATGAAACCTCCCAAACAACAGCAGCAATTAGAGTGGCAAAAGTGTTTTTTTTCTGTCCCAAACGTCAACAAAAACAAGTCTTTTACCAGCTTTACCAACTACCCTTCAGGCTCAGATGCTGCACGCTTATCATGTGCTCCCTCCCTCCCCGAGGTCACGTCTGCTGATTACATCCCTAAGGCGTGGCTGTTGACCTTGTCCTGCCCAAGAAGGACTCTGGGAAACTGGGTTCTGTTTGCATTGTCCTGAGCGGAACACGAGGACACAAACTGCCTAAGACCAACGTCAGGTTCACAATATATCAGTGCAACTGTGTGCAAGTTTTCCACCCAGTGTTTCTAAAAAGACCTGCACCTTTTATTGCTGGATTGCAAATCTGTATAGTCAGAGTCATGGGGGTATTCCACAAAGCAGGATTTCTTCATTAGCCAGATAATGTGTGCCAAATGTAAGGGTTGTCCAATAGGAATGTGACTTACCTGTCTTCCTATTGACTAGTTTAAACGTTAGGCTTAAGCTATCCAGCTAACTGGGAAATCCCGCTTTGTGGAATACCCCTGGGGCTGTCCAGTTCGTTTATATACAAGCTTTATGTTCTGCCACTCATCGCTCTAAGCTTGCTGCTGCCGGTTGGAACCTCAGCATGCCCATCGAGGTGCTATATATTTTCAGGCTTCATTCCCTCAGGCCAGAACACATTATGAGTGCAAAAAGAAATCAGTCCAGATTCGTGTCTTGTGTGGAAAGCAGCTGGCAAGGCTCTCTTGTGACAAGTCCTGATCTATGATCAGATCAGATGGAAGGCCTTTGTAGCGTGTGGCATGTGTTCCAGTAAACTGCCAGCATCCCTTATTGCAATAAATAAACCAACCTGGCTAATTTCTCCAAGCATAAGTCCTGCTCCTAGAAAAAGAAACAAAAGCTCTTTCTGTGAAGCTGCACCTAACATTAACCCCTATAGCCTCTGGGACATCTGCTTAGATCATGAATATACAACCATGGAAAAAATTTAGAGACCACAGCACAATTTTTTGTTTCACTCATTTCTTGATTTATGGCTGTGCGTCTGAATAACATATATATTTTTTTTCAAACTGCAGCCTGGTTCTTCTGTTTCCCTTTAATTAATGAAGGGCTTCTTCCTTGCTTTATGGAACTTCAGTCCTGCTTCTAGGAACCTGTTATGAACTGTCCTAGCAGTGCACTTCACACCACTTAATGTTTCCTATTATTTTTCAAGGTCACTTGATGTCGTCCTCCGATTCATGAGAAACTGTCTGATAAGTTAACGGTCATCTCTGGCATTAGAAAGTCGCTTTGGCCCTCTACCTGACTGGTTTCTGGTTGTTCCCGGCATCTCCTGCTTCATCTTATTCTTGTGTACTGCTATCTTACAAATTTTGAACCTGGAAGCAACCTGCTGCTTAGCGTAGCGTCCTGCCAGCAGAAGCAAAATTAAACCAGTATTTAAAAATGCAGATTTGTTTACAAATATAGAGTAATCTCTTAAATTTTCCACGGCTGTATTTTTTGTTTTAATGTCATCAATGATGAAGAGCATGTCACTGACGTTCTTCATTTGACTGCAGGCTGAGGCATGGAGATGTATTCCCCTTTGATGGTCCTGGAGGTGTGCTAGCCCATGCTTTCTTCCCCGGCACACCAAGGCAAGGGGAAATCCACTTTGATGCCGATGAGAACTGGACTGTGAGGAAAAGTTCGGGTGAGCGGGCAAAACTGGGGTTTATTCACGGTTAGAAAGTGAATTTAGTGCTGGAGCTGCAACACTAATATCAAGGCAAAAAAAAACAAGAACACAAGCAGCTTTGGGGGTGAAATGGGTCCCTTGTTAATGATGACAATACACCCAAGTTCTCTGGATTTTGGATAATGTAAAGCAATGTTTCCCAGTCCAGTTCTTGTGGACCTATGGTAGTCCATGTTTTTGCTCTCTCCCAATTCCCTGTAAGGAGCTGGAAGGGAACAAAAATGTGGACCGACCATGGAACCCCGAAGACTGGATTGGGAAACACTGCGGTACAGCCATTTTTGGGAGCACTGCTCTATATATAGAATGTTCATATGTATATCCTCCTGAGACCCAAGGAAAAAAGTGTCCTTCAATTTTAGGTTATTTGTCTTTGGAGGAAATAAGATATCTTACAATTTAGATTTTTTCAAATTTATTTTTATTTTTTATTTCACAGCATGTCCTCTTTAGTGTACAACAGGAATAAATATGTTTCCTTACATGGAGTGAAAAGATAGATGCAAAAACAAAATGTCCACTACAATGGACATACTGTAAATGAATGGATGGGGTCTAAGGAGGATAAAAAAATCATAAAGGATCTGGTACCACTTTACCAGCATTTTGTATAAGAAGCAGAGGCACCAAGTTCAGGTTCAGAAAGTACAAATCCAGACCAAGATTTTGTTTCAACCAACCAGTTAAGTACTCTGTGACTCTTTATACTCAACTGGCCGGTTGAGACAAAATCTTGGCCTGGATTTGTACTTTCTGAACCTGAACTTTCCACCTCTGAAAAGAAGTGATCCATTGCCAATGAATGGAAGGAGCAGGGGGTCACTATGTCTCCCTCCCCAAAGGCATGGACCTGCTCAACACGGCCACCCATGAGTTTGGCCATGTGCTGGGCCTGCACCACTCCATGGACCCCGAAGCCGTCATGTCATCATTCTACACCTTTTCTGACCCATTCACCCTGACTGAGGATGACAAACAGGGCATCCAGGCCTTGTATGGCACACCCACCATCGTCAGACCAAATGTGATGGAGACCAATGAAATCACTCCATCTAAGGTAACAGACCCCGCTCCTCATGTGGCCAATAACACAAAAAGCCTAGATGTACGGTCCTTCCCATATGGAAAAAATATACAGTGGTACCTCAGAACTCGAACTTAATCCGTTCAGAACTCCTGATCGAATCCTAAAAAGTTCGAGTTCTGCTCGAATTTTCCCCATAATAAATAATGGAAAACCAATTAATTGGTTCCGGCCCCAAAAAATTACACCTAAATGTGTTTTTTTTAGCATTTAAATACAAAATGAACCGGATAAAACAAGAAAAGCATATACTGTACTAAACACATCTAAGCACATTTATCAAACAAGTAATTTTTTAAGTAAGAAAATAAATGTATCCAAACAATGTGTCCTGCCCTGATCGTCCGCTCCTTCCGTGTGTCACGCCCCCTCGTTAACCCCGTGTGATCAGCTGTTTCTGGTTGTTGTCATGAGTCCTCTGTATTTAGTCCGCGTTTCAGTTTGTTTCCCTAGTCCAGTCATTGTATTGTCCGTCTGCATTTTGCCTGCCTTACCTGTAATTAAACCCCGTATCCTCCGATACCCTGACGTCTGCGCCTTTGTCTCCGTTCCATCCCCGCTCGGCACGACAATATTATTATAATTAAATGTATTAATGGTTTATTATTAATATTTAAATAATGAATAAGAAATCTTTATTTTTAAATGTATTTTATTATATAATAATAATTACTGTTACTGTCTATCATTGTCTAAATGTATTTTTACTGTCTAAATATATGTATTCAGCTAGTGTAAACATGCACGATGCTGTCACAGCGAATGCGAGGCTGAGACTGAAGCGTTACCGTGCGTTCACACCGCCGGCGGCGACAGCGTCAAACTGACCGGAAGTCATTCATTTTCAATGTTATGCCCAACGAGAGCGTCGAGGAGAGTTGAAATCGTTTCAACTTTATGGTAATGAGCTATGACGAGGTTCGGCGGCAACCAATCGAAATGTAGAAGTCCACCGCTTGAGCAGATTCCAGATAACGCAGTCCTGTAAACTTTGGTTCCGACCACATAAGTTCCCTTGGCCGACCGCCATTAAGCAACAAAGAAGAAGAAGAAGAAGAAGAAGATCCCATGCAGAATGGAGGAGAGGTTAATAATTGCTGTGGCGGGTTTCCCAGTAATCCAATTTTCCTGATTATACTTACCTTAAGTAATGTTTAAATTATACCTGATTACACTTACTTAAGTAACATTTTCAGTGCAGGACCTTTAGTTGCATGAGAGTATTTAAATTACAGTGTGTTATTGGTGCTTTATACATTATTAAGTAAAGGAAAAAAGTGAAGTTCGTCCACAATTGCAAAATATACATTAGACTTTATTACCAAGTTATAAATATTTAACAACCTGTGAAACTTATTTCCAACCCATTGAAATTACAAGACAAAATTTTAACGAAAAGACATAAAGAAAAAACATCATAAATTATGAACTTACCGTAGACAAATTGCGAGGCGCTCAGCCGGCTCAATAACTCGTCGATAATTGGTGTCGTGCCTCGCAATTTGTGGCCCCACTTTTGACAGCAGGTTGTCAAACTGGTCCCTATCCAGCCTGAAGTATCGCTGGAACCTATCGTTATCCAGCCGCAGCTCCTGCACCAGCCGGTGATATTCTCCAAGCTGCTGACGGGCATGGAGAATGTGATGCACCCACACCGATCTCCGACGTCCTCTCCGCATGTACAGCAATGCCACCCCAAACGCAACAACTCCATCATGATGTGAATTTGATAAGAACGCGCGCGATACTATTTATAGGCAACATTTTCCCTCTAGAACGCTTTTTTTTCAGCGGGAATGCAATTGATTTGCTCAAAACACCACCGATTTGATCAATTGCAATTGCATTACGCTAAGGTTACACTTCAGGTTTCACACAAATTAATGTTAATTAAAGACCAAGACTAGTAAATGTCTCCTATAATTTCGAAATTAGACTAGCACTTAACCATGAACATAAAAATTACACACCACACAAATGGCTTTTAATTGAAAGAAAACATGTAACTACAAAAAAGTTCTTTCCATCGATCAATTTCTTACTTTCACATTCAATATATTTCATGAGGTTAACTTATACCCTCCTTGTGGTCAGTCTGCACAAGATTAACAAGCTTGTTTGATTTGCAGCCCCTTTAAATACAAGACAAGCAGCGTTGTTGACAGGGCGGCCAGGGCGAATTTTGACGCTCTCGCCGCCGGTGGTATGAACGCACGGTTACCCTTTGTTTCCGTTGAGAGACGTGCCGTGTGACTCATTTCCCCGCGCGTACAAGTTATCTTAGGTCAGCGTTCACGGTTCGACTTCTGAGATTCAGATCGAGTTATAGGTCATTTTTTTTCAAACTGCTTGGTTCGACTTTTAAGAAATTCGAGTTCTAATGAGTTCGAGAACTGAGGTACCACTGTATATTTAAACAAATATCTGACATGTGTCTAATATGTCTGCATATATACTTGAATGTTAAAAATTGGCCGCTTTGTATATAATTATATGCGTAACACATATATGTATGTGTATTTGTCTTCCGTATGGGAAAACATCACATATATTTACATATATGGCACAAATGTCCAAATACGTGCAATAAATTCACCATATATGTAAATATACTGTATGTGATGTCTTCCCATACAGAAAATACATAATATATATAGGATATATAAATATATGTAAAGTGGCCAAATGTGAAATATACTGTAGACATATATGTCAAATAAATGTTTTAGTATTTTTCCTTCATATGGGCTAACAGAGATTTTGCATGCAAACATACAACACATCCCCATACAGTAGTACTTGTGAACTCATTTCCAAGTTCCAAGTACCCTGTGTATTCATTCATTCATCCATCCATCCATCCATCCATCCATCCATCTTTCATTACTGCTTCTCTGGTTACAATGAGCCCAGAGTCTATCCCAGCAAGTTGCAATGTAGCATTATATTCTACAAATATTGTACAATTTCCTAAATACCTGGATCATTCAGCAGATCTCTTGCACACAGCACTGGTGTACATCTTCCATTTCTTGAAGAGCATTATGACTGTTGTGCCCTGGCTTGCAGCCTGATGCCTGCCACACAGATTTTGACGCAGTGTCGGTCATCCGAGGGGAGCTTTTCTTCTTCAAGTCCTCTTACGTGTGGCGCCTCCGAGACGGGCACCTCCAGACTGGCTACCCCGCGCTGGCAGCCTACCAATGGGCTGGCTTCCCCAAGAGAATCGATGCTGCCTTTGAGGACATATTTGGGATGATATGGTTCTTCCAAGGTGGGTGATGTTGACCTTCCTGGGCCTCATCCAGGAAGAGGCATATTTGAGATCCACATTTTCCAAAATCAAAACACAGACATGACCAGTGGATCATTAAAAACCCATCAGGTCGATCCTTCACCCTACAGCTTGATTTGCTTTCTAAAAATCTGTAATTCAGAGTTTTTCTCCTCTTACTCTCTATATTGAATCTCAGCTTGGGCCTCCCTACCAGGTTGGGCCAAGTTGTTCAAACCATCTTCTTATTCGCCTGGCTGCCTGAATCACATTTTAGAAACACACTGTTGAAGGTTTGCTGCTGAATGTACATTCCTTTATGTGAAAGCAAGAATTGGAGCGACGTCAGCATATGCGATGACTTACAGAGCATATAGACCTAACATAATAACTGGATATTTTCTCTGCCAGTTATAGCTGAGGATATCGCTGAAGGAACTGCCATTAATTCTTAGCTTTGCAACCATAACATGTGCTGACAAAGGTAGCATCTTAATAGCAACAAGATCAAATCATACAGAATAAAAGCATTTCATACAGTCTCAGATAGACTGAAAAGCTATCAAGGAAGACTCAGGTCTCATGTGATCGCATACAAACATCATATTATACACTCACCTAAAGGATTATTAGGAACACCTGTTCAATTTCTCATTAATGCAATTATCTAATCAACCAATCACATGGCAGTTGCTTCAA